TAATTAATATTTTTTTGCCAAGCTTGTAGAACATAGCTAGAACAAGCTTGTAGAAACAAGCTTGTTTTTTTGTTGCCAAGCTTGTAGAACATGCAACAGTGGCACATTTTGATTTTGAATGTGCAACACTTAAATGTATTTAATTCAATCACTGTTTTTCTATTCTCAAATTTAAGACCTCTTAAAATGATAAATCAGAATTTTGATATACATGAAAGATATTTCCGGCCTTACATAAAATATGTACTATACATTAAAGAAATTTTTTTGGACTTAAATTTGATCAAACTAATTTAATGACACATTTAGAAACATAAAGTACAAGATATAGCAGTTACATATTGACAAAATGGCTTTAGTGTAGGCCTGGGCGATAAAACGGTATCAGTATTTATCGATGGTACACCTTCTTCAATATTGATAGAAAAAATGTTCGATATAGTGCACGATATAGGCATGTGCTATGAGTGACGCAGACAGCACACACAAACACGAACACATGCTGAAATGAGTGTTGTGCCTGCCTGTGATGGGGAGATTGTGAATAAAGAATGAGTATTAGTCGAATTTAATGTTTTGTTAGTCTAGCCCACGAGACATGCCGCTGCTGCGTTATTCATTCAAAATATTAGAGAAATATAGAAGCTCAATGCTGAGAAGAACTGGTTATAAGAACTGGTTGATAAAGGTTAAAACCGAAACCAAGCCATTCACACAGAATGCATATTCAGCGCATTTTTAGATGGACAAATATGACTGCTGCACTCGCGTCTCACAGAAGAGATGTACAGAAAGCCATGCAAAGTTAAAACAGTTTAAACTTTTAGAAAACACGTCACGAATTTGTGGAGATTTGTTGTTTGTCTCAATAAATTGTGTTAATTTAAAAATACAGTGGTTAAATTTAAACATTTTCTTCTATTGCTTTTTGTTTTAAAAAAGGTTATAAAAAATGTCAATAATTATCTATACCGAACGATATGAAACATTATATCGTTGATACATTTTTTAGCTATATCGCCCAGCCCTACTTTAGAGCCACTAATGCAGCGGATTGTGTAAAGTAACCTCTCACTGGCCCACCAAATCTCACTGGTGAGTCAGTTTACTTCACAGTCCAAGGAGAAAAAAAAATCAGACTGCTCACCCTTACAGGAAAAAAAACCCTGGACTGTTGCCATGTAAAAGCTCATACCAAGATACCCCATGTGAATATTTCTATTTTTAAGTGTCCTTGCCCTGAAAATTTGCATTTGGCATGAATAGACCTTACCCGGTCCACAGGCTTAAACAAAGGCCACAATACAAGATAACTCTTCACATACATACTTTTATTCCACAAACTGTAGATAAACTGCAGCACAACCACTTCACGTTCATTCAGATAGCAGTATATGCTTACTGACTTCAGCTTGTCTCACAACAATTCACGGAAGATTTGTTATGAAAATATACACAAATGCTTGGGTGACCATACAACCATCATCTCATGTTTGGACTTATGCATTCCACATAATGCCTAGACTGTTTTAAAAGTGTTTTGGAAAGAAAACAGGTAAAAAATGCACTGTTCTAAGGGTGCACTTTAGACTATGCAAATAAGTTCCATATGGAGAAAAAAGGGTAAGCCATCCCTTTGTGACCCTTTCTGATGTCAACAGCCAATCACAACAGTGGAATGGAAAAGTGTCATATTACAATCTCTTCCACATCAGAAAGGGTATGCTTTTAATAAAAATATGCTCTCAACAGACACACCTTGTTTCGAGTCTCCAGCTTGTGATGTAAAAACAATAACAGACAAAACCATATTTCCGCTCTCAACCTCACAACAAGGTCATGCTCTCGGCTGCAAACTCAAGGAACATTCCTCACCAGTGGAAGATGTAGCCACTGGACCAATCATCCAAACACGCAGAACACAATCAGCAATAACAAAATCACTTTCCAGAGACCTAGGCATTAGAATATACTGCCAGTATATGATTATCTAATGTGCAATATCTAATGATATTGCGCGACTATAAGTTTGATTACAAATTGAACCTAAGCCCCTATAATATATAAGCATAGCGTTTTTCATTTATTTTTATAAATAAAAAAAGACCAAAAGCATTACTTTTTTTTTTCAAATATGTTTATTACTGTCTTGTAACTAGTTCTTAAATTATTATTTGGTATAAAGTGTTGCCACTGCCTGGCAGTCACTGTAGAACTCAAAGAGAGAAGCCCTCCAAACAAGCTATATTTTTCTAGAAACAGGTGATTGAAAAAGCGTTATATGATTTATTCTCTTGCCATTCAAAAACTATGAAAACAATATTATGTATATAAAAAGAAGAGACTGCATATGCGTATGCATCTATAGCAAATGCAGGACATGGTATGGTAACAGAAATAGACGTAGTACAACAACAATTAAGAACCATTGAAACCTATAGTAAATATTTATATAAACTGGGCTTATAAGGAACAATGCCAGTGACCTTTATTATTCCTAATACTGCCACTGCCACTAACCTAAGAACACATTGAACATTTATTAACTGTGGGAACAAAGTAGGCCTACATTTGAAAAAGAAAAGATAAGGATCATAAGTGACTATAGGATCTGAGAGCCTAAAATCAAGAAGTCCACAATCTTGTATCACAACTATCAGGAAGAATGCTAAGGCATAAGAAGAAAGTCAAAGGCATCATGGTAAGAGTAAGGCAACATCCATCTTAGATTAAACAATCATTCATGCATGTTTTTTTTTTTACCTTGCAATTTTTATATCAAAGTGCCATAACTTGATGTTCTAGTGAGATGACAGACTTCTCTCTGCAGACGTACACCGGACCTCTCTAGTCATGTCCACATTAACCCCATCCCTGCAATCTCACATTCATTTCCCTCTATTTTTGAGTGCAACATCCACATCTCAAAATCCAATTAACACCTGATGGGCTGAACCAAGTCTCCGGACAACTTTTTTTTTTTTTTTGATAATCCGTTACTTTCAGATGTATGTCACAACGTGGAAGAAAGATCTATCACCAATTCAGTTTCATAGCGATTTAAAATTTAAAAAGCTTGGCTATTTTTGGTGAAACAGTAACAATTTCAGTTACCTTATTATAAGATAAATCGATTATACAACACACTGCCATACAGCTACATTCGGCTCAAAAACTTGCACTTATCGATTTATTTGTAATATTTTCTAGTTTAGTCATAATTACTCATCTTATGGTAAAAATATGAATTTCACAACATGTGAATAATACATTGTGAACCTGCAGTAACTCTAAAGGTTATGCAGAACTTCACAAAAATTCAAATTTCTAACACATTACACAATCGTCTTTGATCATTGTTATATTATTAAGTTGAAATCTCTTTGCAAGTGACACTCAAAAGCACTTTAAGTGAAATGACCAAAGTCACTACATCATTGGTATTTGTGTGAAGATCACTAGCAAAGTTATCAAAGAGAGTGTTTTTCTTTTCGGGATTTGTTCTTTGAGTGCTTCTCTGGGAACAAGGCACTGATAAGCGTTTCCACGCCAACCTGGCACCTGTAGCATTATTGTGGCCTGACATTTCGCCTGTCAGCCAATAGGAAAAGGCTGAGTTCTCCCTCCACTTAAACCCCGCAGCAGGAGGAACGCCTCAGTGAGCCAGGTCGCTCCCCAAATGCCCGTAAATATTGGTCTTT